AAACAATATAATAGTAATTTCTTCAAAAGTAGTGAGAAGATTATATTGGGGTCTATCACTCTCATTCATAAAGTGTAAAGAAACAAAAAGATCTACTTCCACTATTCTTTCATTCCGCACTTGGAATAGTATTTCATGTACATGTCTATATAATCTAATAAATAGATTATTCTTCTTCAAAACTTTTCCAATCTCTCACATAGTTTGGCTCAATAATCCATGATTTTGATTCATTCTTCTATCTTGTGTAAATGATGCATTGTAGATATAGAGATGTGCATAACTTGGATCGATTCCTTCTTCAGGTAACAATGCTCATACTAAATGGTGAAACTCTCTATTTATTCTAAAACTATATGGAGCATTTTGCTAAAGCACAAATTGATTAATATTTGCACCTAAGGACATAAATGCATGTGCAATATTATACTCATGGATATTTTCTCAGAACTCTCTTGCTCTTGCATCTTGGTCCTCAAATAAGCATTTCAAAATCAAAGGTGGAGAAGGTAGAGATGATAGAGAATTTTTTTTTTTGACGACAATATTATCCAAATAATAGTAATTCTTTTAGCGACCAGGCTAAATGTTCATCAAAGCAATGCAATGCATTACAATAAGGATACAAAACATTCATCCTCTCTAGATTATATATGGCTTCAACACTTATAACTATTTTAGCTTTTCTTTGTACTCTCTCATATTTCCTATGTTGTTGTTAAGCAATTGCTCTTCGATTCATTGTTAAAGCTAGATTATTCACAATGGCACGGATTCTACCAAACAATTGGAATAAGTTTGTAAGTATTAAAATTGTACCTCTATAAAATTCCAATAAAATCTTGTTATTCAAGTATTTTAGCAAAATTTCATAGTACTTGTAAAATAAAAATGAGTACATACAACTCAATTAGTCAAATTATAATGCATACAACTCAATTAGTCAAATTATAATGCTACAATGCTTTAATAAAAATATTCTACATCTATACATCCCTACAAATTATAATTATACAAATTTTTAAAGCAACTTGCTATAGCAAAAAGCTCAATTTTTTCAAAATATTACATTTTATAAATCAAAATAAATAAATAAAATATTTAATATTTAATTATTCATTAAAAAATATATTATTATTTATTTATTTTATATATAAACACAAATATATATATATATATATTTATTTATTTTATATTTACACATATATATTTATTTATTTATTTATTTATTTACACATATGAAGTTGAATATAAAAAATTTCATTTAAGAACAAGAAATGAAATTCCTACAATTTAATTTTTGTACAACAATTCTTGTGATAGTTGACAATATTCCTATAATTCAAATAAAACTTTGTTGCTCAAGAATTTTGTTTACAATGAAGATATAATGTGAAATGTAATATAATAAATGTAATATAAAAACTATAAAAATTATCAAAACTATAAATATGACTATAAAAATAAAAACTATAAAAATATTAACTATTTTTGAAAAATAAAAATAAAAAACTAAAAATAATAAAACAAATAACTAATAAAAATTTAAAAATGATAAAAAATAATATAATAAAATAAATATTAAAAATTATAAAAATTATAAAAATTATAAAAATATCATCTTAAAATTTTAAAATATTATAAATAATAAATAGTTTTTGAAAATAATAAAATTTAAAAATCTAGTTTTATGCACAAAAATTTAGTCTAATCCATATTTCACCAATCTAACAACAAATCCAGACATCAAATCAAAAAAAGTAAAAAAAAAAAAAATAAATAAATAAATAAAAAACAAAGAACAAACAAACAAACAGACACATTCAAAAAGCTAAACAAAAACACAAATTTTTCAATATTTCAGCAATACTCACTGCAATATTTCACTGCAATATTTCACTGCAATATCATAAATTTCATAAAATATCATAAAATTAGAACTCCAACCTCCTCAAAGAAAGTTCTATTAGACAATTGGAGTAAATGATTACATCTTTGACAACAACAATTTATAAGTACAAAAGTTGATTCGAGTAGCAAGATTGTAAGCCCATGCTGCTACTTCTTCTTTGATGGAATAACAAAGAAACCTCCCAAAAGCAAGATCCACTATGAATCCATGTTGTTAATCCACTATGAAATTCTTCTGAAATTCTGATTGCAAAGCACAATGTTAATAATTTGTAATTCATAAATTTGACAAAACACCAATGTTTGAAACACACAGAATACATTGTTCTTACTCAAAATACAAAACTTAAATACATGCTGAGCCTTCCCTAATGTATTTGCCTTTCCAGTGTTTATATGATTGCATTATAGTATGAAGTGCATAAATTTGAGGAGGAAAAAATCAATGTGAAACACTATGAAAATTATCCTATAGAATTTCCCGATCAACTATAAATCAGGTTGTGAAATCCACAAATCATAAATTTTTTTGATGAAAACAAAGGCCCATCTATGCGGTGAAGGAGAGCCACCACTTGTCTCCTTGATCAATCTTAATATATAGACTAGATAACCCCATGTTGTTGTCACGAAAACTTTGATTCAAATGAAGTTATTTTGTGAACTAATGAATATTTTTCAAATTCAAATGTAATACAATACAAATAGAAAGAATATAAATTACATAATGGAGCTTTTACATATGAAGTTATTATAAGTAAATCCATGTTATTGTTGTGGATAATATATAAAAAATATAATTAATTTAGGTCAAGAAATTACTTATGAAAACATAAAAAACATTGAATTACATTAAAAAATATATTTTGACATTCAAAGATGTATTAAAGTCAATAATTAAATAAAATTAAATAAAAATATAAAAAATATTTTTTTTATATTTATCTAATTAAAAATTCCAGAAAAACAATATTTGACAAAGAATTTAAATTATCATTTTTGGGAAGAAGAATCTTGATAGAATGGTAGGAAAAGCATTGATAGAGTGCTACATAAAGTTGATGATGGAAAAAAAATAGGTTGTTGTTGATCCAACCAACATGCTTCATTGATTGTCTTTTGAATTTGTTTATTGTTATTGCAAATACAAGACGGATTGGAAATTGCTTTCTCTTTAGAATAAATAGAAGTTCTTTTATTGTAGAAGTCAATGTATTCCATAGAATAAACACCAAGTTTCCAACAAATTTTCCTCTAAGAATTCTTATTACAAGAACTCAAACCATTAGTCATGTAATTACCAATTGGATTCTATTGCAAAGTTGTTGGCGAGGAGCAATATTTCTTAATAGCATCATTGAAATCTCAATTTTAAGACAAAGCCTTGATTTAGGCATTCTAGATGGATTGAGTGACTTGATGAATTTCACTAGATAAATATTATTATTATTGATACCATCTTCAATAACAAAAACTTCATTTGCACTTAAATATTTTTGTTCTTCTTTGAGAAATATGGCCATAATCTTCTCATTAATATCTTCTACATTATCATTGCAAGTGGATAAAATGATTCTATCTCTAAAGAAGGCATCATTTGCTATATTGTCTTCCTATCAGCATTGCCTTGTATAAACAACATCCACTAAAGGCATTAATTTTTGATCAACAATCATATGATCAAGAAGCTTAACTACGTTATCGAGCAATAAGTTTGTATCGTTTCCAATTTGACAAGTAGAAAATAGAAATATTAGTCAATAATTATGCAACCATAAAGAACTCAAATGCACCACCATCTATATATACAATGTGTGTATGCATTCTTTACTTGAAGATGCCAATTAGCAAATTCAATATCTGCGTGAAGTGTTCTTAAATTGTTCTTACTCGAAACACAAAATACGTTGTTCTTACTCAAAACATAAAACTTAAACACATGTTGAGCCTTTCTTGATGTATTTTCCTTTCGAGTGTCTATATGATTGCATTACAATATAAAGTGCATAAATTTGAGGAGGAAAAAATCTATGTGAAACACCATGAAAAACACCCTGTGGAATTCTCCAATCAACTGTAAAATAAGTTGTGAACTCTACAAAACATGAACCTTTTTGATGAAAACTAAGGCCCATCCATGCGATGAAGGAGAGCCACCACTTGGCTCCTTGAATGATCTTAATATATAGATGATTTTGCTAATTTAATTTTATGTGTATATATATATATATATATATATACATAATCTTTATATTGCACCAAATACATTACAATTCTTACAGTTATTAAGAAACACAAGCACAACTCCTGTAAAATGTTTAAAAAATATTCAAGAGGAATAGTGCTGCCTCCAGAATATGAGGTGCATCATATATTTTGACATTGTATTGTAAAACACTTTGCCCATATATTTCCAAGAAACATCTTTCTATTAACAAAATTCATAACAAAATGGGTATGTCATGCATGGGAATGAACACTCAATTTGGTTGGAGACAAAAGCTCAAAGATTGAAATGCACACGTGGCACTTAGCTTTGGGAAATGAGCCCCATGCATGGACAATTTCCTTCAGAACATTCCGTGTCATTCTTATCAACCAATCCTTCAATCAAACAACTTTGTCTGTGGCCGATTGTTTCGAGGTTCTAACTCAGCTCACTTTTTTTCACGAACTTCGTTACAAAGTGGACGTGGACCTACTTTCAGTCTAACCCCCACCAACGACCGACGACCTACCAAGTCCTAGGAAGGTAGGTTACCACAGGTACCTACCTAGCGAGGAGGCGGAGGGTTCGTGCTTAAAAACAGCGTTTGCTCCAATCCGGCCGTCTCGATGCCGAGCTCCTGAAAATGCAATCGATGGCAGCTTCATGTGGCGAAACGATGCAATGTCGGGCTGTAGGTTTGTGTCCCTGAGTGGTACGAGTTAGTGGAATTTGTGACCGATTCTCTTCTCAGGTTGTGGAATTTCGGGGACTGAATGGGAGGTGAATTTGGGAAGTGGAGGAGGAGAAGGAGCATGGCTTGTTTCTGGATGTGAAGAGGCGGGGGCAGGGTTGGGGGGGGGGGGGGGGGGGGTTTATTTTTGGGGTAGAGATTTGCATTCAGGATGGTGATTATGGACGTAGACAATGCCGTGGATGTGGAGATTAATGTTTCCGCCTCAGCATCGGCGCCCGTAAAGGAGATGAGCGAGCTGCGGTACTCGCGCTTGATTCACACGCTAGGGAGAGACGCGGTGAATGCGTTGAGTCAGGCCCGTGTGTTGGTGTTGGGGTGTAAGGGATCGGGTGTTGAGGTAGCGAAGAATTTGGTCTTGTCCGGGGTGCAAGGGTTAGGGTTAGTGGATGACGAGGTGGTCGTGTTGGCTGACCTCGGGGCGCATTTCCTCTTGAGCGAGGGGGATGTGGGGCGCAATCGGGCGGTCGCTACCGCTCAGAAATTGAAGGAGATGTACCCTAGTGTAAACATTGTCACGCTGTCGAGCGTATCGGTGGAGAGCGCGCTGGGCAGCTATGGCTGTGTGGTGGCCACAAGTGGGTTTTATCCCGACCTGATTCGTTTGAACTCTTTATGCCGCTCCTTGGGCGTGCCATTTGTGGCGGCGAGTTGTCGTGGAGTGTTCACCTTCGTGTTCTCAGATTTTGGTGACAATTTCTCCGTTTTGGACGAAACTGGAGAGCTTGCCGGGGCAGTATTGGTCGAAGGTATTACGCAGGATTTTCCTGCTACTGTCACCGTGGTGGAAGAACAACGACACGGGTTAGAAAATGGCGATGAGGTTGTTTTGAGTGGCATCAAGGGCATGGAAGAGTTGAATCGTGACACTCCTTATTCAGTGACTGTCACCGGTGTGCATTCCTTCACAATACAGGAAGATACACGTTCGTACGAGCGCTATGTGTCCGGTGGATATTTCAGCAAGCTGAAGAAATCTAAGAACATGGAGTTTCTTTCCTTGGAGAAAGCTCTTCTGTCTCCTAAATTCTGCATCAGTGATCCGGTGAAAGAGCCTCAAGTTATGTCCTTGCATGTTGGCTTTCAAGCCGTAGACGAGTTTGAGAGACGTCATGCCTCGGATACTTTATCACCGTCCAGGTCAACTGCCATAAACCCTGAACAATTTCAGGAGGTCGTTGTGCTTGCCCAAGAAATATGGTCGAATTTGCAGGCATTGCATGTTGAGAAGGGAACCAGTAGCGGTAGTTATGCAATGGAAGCCACATCTGATGAGAGAGGAGAGGAGCTGTCAAATGAGGCTCTGTTGAAAGCTAATGGTGAGAGGGACAGACCATATCAGGATAGAGCTGAGGCTCTGTTGAAAGCTAATGGTGAGAGGGACAGACCATATGAGGATAGAGCTGGGTCCAGTAGTAGTGGAGGTTCAACTTCCATTGCGGGATTACCATCAAGGTCACATGGTAATAGGTTTGAGGTAAATAAGGATATAGTTCGAATGATTGCGATAGGAGCATACAATTGTTACGTATTTATAAACTACTTAACAAAACTCTACGAAGGTATTATTTCCTCTAGCGCACCCAATCGATCATTTGTTGTATTATTGAATGTGCACTCCACCATATGTGGTTCTAATTGCAAATTTTCTTCTTCCTCCTCCAATCTTTCCATTGACTCCTCCTCAACTGGTTAGAGAGATTTTCATTATATTCTCCCAATTCACGGACTTGAGCTTCTAGTTTCAAAATCTAGACATCCGAAGTTTCAATTGTTGTTGTGGCTAATTCATCCATTTTGGAATATCTTCAATCGATACTTGTAAACGACTCCTCACTGTTAACTCTTAACCAGAACTATTACTTTCAAAAACACATGAAATATAAGAAAATGATACTCCAGCCAATTCAAAACAATATCACAGAATGACTTTAATTAGTGCCCCACTCCTATTCTTTTACTACCTGGTGATTATGACAACATGTTATCCATATTTCCGTGAAAGGTAATGGGAAGTAAACTTTCTTGATTGCTTCATTAAGTTTTCGAAAATCCTGACAAATTTGGATTTTCTCGTTTTTTTTTTGCACCATCACGATTGGAAAAACCCACTTACTATTCGGTACCAGATAAATGAAACCAACTGCAAGAAGCTTGTCCAATTCCTCTTTCACTATAAGAGAATATTTAGAATTAAGGCGATGTTGCCTCTGCCATACCAATTTAGCGTTCTCCTCTAAAATGATACGGTGTTCACAGACTTCAGTGGAGATACCTTTTAGATCAACATAAGTCCAAGCAAAAGCTGATTTATGATGCAAGAAAAATTCTGTCTAGTAGGTTAACTCCTATTCCTTAATACCTTCATATACATTTATTGTCCAAGGCTCTCTTGTGGTTGCTAAGTTGATAGTTTGACATAAAGGTGTAGTGGTGATGTTCAGTTTCAACCCCCGCGTTGGTTTAAAATCAGTCGGTAAGTCCAATATGTGTGAAGTACTAAATCTTGTGTCTAGAGTACTCACATGGTGCACATCATACTTGGTTATCCAATCAATACTAACTTTAGCAGAGATTTTTGAATCCGTCGGGTATATCAAGTACTCCCTTGCACCGCCACATTAGTACACCACTCCAAGGTATTGGTCTGCTTCCATGGACGCCTCCGTAATCGATGCTACTACATCGTCATTGGCACTAAGTTCATCATCTGTCGTCAATTCAGATGCTGGCAATTGAGATTTCCCGTGATAGTGTACTGGATATATTTGTAATACCATTTTATCTCTGTCCTTGCCAATTGACAGAGTACCCAGACTCCAATTGTTCTTGGCCTTCGCTTGATAAATCTAGGGTTGTTCAAATAAAATTGGATATGATAAAGTCAAATGTTGTAACCAAAAGAAGATGTAGTCAATTTCATATGCAATACCAATAATTATAGTTTGAACACTTTGTAAAATATCCATTGGTTTAACTCGGCTATTTACTGCCATCCGTAACACCAATGTTGTGGATACTAAGTGTTCCAAATCTAAAGCATCCATTGTATCAACATTCATTAAATTGGTGCTGGAACCACCATCCACCTGAACATCTGAGATCATAACACCATCAATCGAAACATCGATGGTTGGTGCACATGGGTCAGGGTTCAAATTGACTTCACAAACTTCTTTATTGCGTTGCCTATGCCATATTAACAATGAATTCAATGTAGAATAGCACTCTGGTGCAACCGCTAGAAGTTCCTTCATAGAAATACAAGGCCGAATAGCGTCCAGATCCTTCAAAATGTCATAGGGTTCCATATGTAAGGTAATACCCAATGCCTTCTTCCTTTTCATTGGTTTGAATTTAACTCCGTGAGGTAAGATATTCTTCTGCTCTGGACTTAGAATTGAAACAATAGCCGGAGCTTCCTTGGAATTTGTGCCCTCGAGAGGATCTTTCAACGAATAGGACGTTTTCTAAAACTACATAGAAAACGGAACAGCTTGACACGAAATTGAAGCCTCCATAATTAGTATCTCATTGAGGTGTACAATCGATTCAGGTCTTATATTGAGTAAAGGGCCCATGTCAGGACTTGGATTGGATGGCTCCATAATTGGATCCAATTGGCCCTTCGCTTTAGCATTATTCAAATATTGAATTGGTCTTTTCCTCTTTTGCTGACTTCTTATATGGACAGCTTGGACTACTTCTACCCGATGAACTGGTGATTCTTCTATCTCGTTATTTTTTTCTTCTACAACTTGTGCAATCGATTGTATCTTCTCATCATCATTATTAGGGTTAAATGGAACATTGTATTGATAATGAAAATGACCCAAATGCTTGTAATTTCCACATATTAGAGCATATTTGTCTATAAACCTTGGATTAGGGCATTCATTGGCATAATGACCAATTCGTCGACACTTGTAGCAACGTAGTGGTTTTCGACCCATACAGTCAGGTACACTTGTTGTCTCCACTGGAATATATTTACTAGGTCGATTCCAAATAGCCATAGTAAATAATCTTGGTTGACCAGTTGCTATTGGTCGAGAATAAGACTACTGAATTGGTATAGTTTGGAGATTTTCTCCTTGATTATTTCCACCGTTTTGCATCTTTGTTCTATAAACCATATTATAATTAGTATTTTAAAAATTCCCAAAGCCATGATTAGATCAATTTGAGCGATTACTATTCCAACCACCCATATTTCTAGTCTGTACTTGATTAACATCCCATTGAGTTGGCTATATTAACGTCTGGTTATTGAATTGTTGTTGCCTTTGTAAATGCCAGCAGTTTTGAGTAGGGTGTTTTCCTCCTCAAAATATACATTGAACACCCGTTTGTCTGGGTGATGGACATTTTGTATCAAAATGACCTTATCCTTTATAATTATTACACCATACATTAGGTCTCGTATTAGAAGGCTTATGTCGTTTCTCCTTGTCTTTAGCCAAATTCATAGCCAATTCTTCCATCTTATTTGTTAGATTTAATAACAAGGCTTCATTTGGATCTTTAAAAGTCGCATTTGTGAACAACTCCAGTTGTTGATAGGTTGGGGATGTAAAATAAGGTGTCATTGTTGTTGGGACTATTGCTTTGAGTGGTGTAGCATTAATTGATTTTTGCAAGATAACATTCTTCATGTTGGAGTCAGCCATTTGTGGATAATTATCCATCGACACATTTCCCGATTGTATTTGTTGGCATCCTGAAGTTGGAATCATCGTGGCCTTCACTATTAACAATTGGTCATAATGACATTCTTTCTACACCTTTGCTTGTGCCAACGATGCCTCTACCATAGCTGGTCGAGCCTTTTTTACAAACACTTTCAATTCTGGTGGATGCAAACCATTAATTAATATCGACAATATAAACGCATCTGGTATTTGATTATTTGTCCATTTACAAAGTGTATCCACGATCCGGCCATAATAGGACTCTACGGATTCTCCCGCAAACATCCTGCTATTCATAAAACTTTCTCCAAGCCAATCTTCAAATCTAATTGATTTAAAATAGGTTAAGAAGGCGTTCCTCAAGGCCTTCCAATTAGAAAATCTATCCACTGGTTGCCGAATATACCATTCAAAAGCTGTATCTTTTAAAGTTGCTGGCAACCATCTCAACCAAATGTCTTCAGTTCTACCAATATTAGCCACGCAAGCTGTCAAGAATTGAGATATATGATAATCGAGATCAGAGCTTGGCCAACCACTAAAAGTAGGTAATGATGCCACACTTGTAATTCGGTCTTCTACTGCTCCCATTTATACTACAATTGGTACTTCTGGCACTCCCACGGCTATTGGTGTTATCACTGGTCTCTTTACTATTTGAATCTGAATTTTTCTTCCTTTAGTTTTTCTTAGACTTGCAATTCTTTTTTGTCATTCTCGTAGGATATTTCTTATGCGTAATTGCTCCTGTCTTTCTTTCGTTTGTCAATTAATTCTTTGATAATCCTCCCTTTCATGATTATCACTCATAATCTTTTATTCCTCTTTATAAAATCAATATTGCCTTGAATTATAACTCACATATCTGTAACTCTAAAATTGATTCTTCTCATGTTCTCATTCAACATATAATTCCATCTCCTATACAATCAATTTCTAACATTTCATATTGTTATCATTTTTCCAGCAACGGTGCAAAAATGTTGTTCTTGTTGTGTTTAAGCTTCAATATATCAAAGCAATTGAACTAATAGAGGTGGGTTCAAACACGGGGAAAGACTGGTTATATGAATTGGGTTTGTTAGTGTCACAATTGATTGTACTCTAGCTATTTGAAATCAATTATCAAACTAAAAAATATCGAGGCTTAGTACTTCTATCTTAATTCAACCCATAATCCATTCTACGACTATCAATTCAACAATACTTCCATATTCTTATCCGTTCATCTCTCACTTTCTCTCTTTGCGGTTTATATATATTCAATTATTGACCTCCACCTTCCTATTGTATTCAGTTTCTCAATTCATCACACATAATTCAATATCTCAACTTATGACTCTCATAGTTTTGCACTCCAGACTAACTTATCAATATTCAAAAACTATCTATTACTCGTCAACAACAAAGAAACAAAAAGAAGTAGCACCAAGCTTGCCTCGGCTTATGACTATCACAATTTGGCCCCTCGGCTTATGACTCTCACAGTCTGGCTCCTTGGATTACGACTCTCACAGTCTGGCTTTGATCTCTCTTTCTTCAACCTCTTTATCCTACCAAAAAGATGATCCATCGGGGAGTGGATTCCAAAGGTTATGACTCTTTGAATTCTTAACCCTTTATTCCACTAACAACCTACTGTTACCAACTAAACTACTTAACCATCAGTCTAATTCTCAAGGTTATTAATAACCAACTAGTAACTTACCACAAAGTTTATTTACCTATTATATAAAGATCTTAAATTATTATAACCTATGTATTAATCATGAAATAATGACTTAAAACATACTTTTGAAAAAATAAGCAAATAAATAAATAAACAAAATTTCTTTAAAGAATTTAATTTACAAGCATCTCTATGGCCAAGATAATCTTTATACATTAATTTAATAGAATACTTGTTGGAGCATCTTAAATATTATTTTAAGGCTTGACTATTATAATTATTTAGAATTTTGGAGTTGTAGGAGGAGATAAAGAAGATATAGAAAGAAATTAATCAAGTTGATATTCTTAA